AGAGAGAGAGAGAGAGAGACCGACCGACCTAGTGAGCTGCCTACCTAGACAGCACCTTTGGGCATCGTCGGCGCTGTCCTAAATGGTAGTATTGTAGTAACGGGAAAACAGATTCATTTTCGTGAATCGGTTCTCGGCTCATAAGGTTTTGGTTCACAGAGTTCGGATTACTCAGAATGCATGGCATTTAGTGAAACCGATTAATTGCAAATATAATTTCACATACATATTTGGGGAAGTCGTGGCCTAATGGTTAGAGAGTCGGACTCGTAACCCAAAGGTTGCGGGTTCGAGTCTCGTACCGGCAGGAATTGTAGGTGGGGGGAGTGAATGTACAGCGCTCTCTCCCACCTTCAATACCACGACTGAGGTGCCCTTGAGCAAGGCACCGAACCCCCAACTGCTCCCCGGGCGCCGCAGCATAAATGGATGCCCACTGCTCCGGGTGTGTGTTCACGGTGTGTGTGTGTTCACTGCTGTGTGTGTGTGTGTGTGCACTTTGGATGGATTAAGAGGGAAACTCTGCTCTGAGGGAAACCCGACGGGTACTCGTTCTCACCCGGTGTGGACGAAACCCCGTTTAACGTCGGGTCTGAAACCGCTGATCCCGAAGCCATTGAGGTTTTTGATAAAGTGTGCTTTGATAAAGTTATGAGCTGTCGCCATAACGGCGTTTTAAACAGATGAAAAATAGTTCAGTTAAACAAAAACCCCTGGAGGTCGCTTCTATTTGTTTTTTAGCATAACGCGCGTTGTACGTGAACTCTCTGTAGGCGGGGCCGAGCTAGTGAGCTGCTTACCTAGACAGCACTTCTGCTTTTGTTTTAGTACCCTCACTAGGTTTTCAGACAGAACCACAGTGAAACGTGTTTCTATCACGTTCACTTAGCCTATAATTTAACAATAACTCCACGCCTTTTTTCTTTCTCTTATTATTTAGTATCCTTTTCCACTAATTATTATTAGCAAGATCCGAAACAATGTGCCTGATAAGTGGGCGGAAAAACAGCGCAATAATATTTCCGGGTGTTTGAAGAGGGGGAACCCCGTGGTGTTTTTCTACCGTGGGTATATCACGAAAAAGTCAAAAGCATTTGTTATTATGTCATCATAACCTGCTGCTGGGTACAGACACTTTATCAAAAACCTCAATGGCTTCTGGATCAGCGGTTTCAGACCCGACGTTAAACGGGGTTTCGTCCACACCGGGTGAGAACGAGTACCCGTCGGGTTTCCCTCAGAGCATCTGCGATGAAGTCCCGAAGGAGAAGTACTTGTGTAGCAACTGTAATAATGTCTTGAATAAAGCGCGTCAAACGGTGTGCGGTCACCGCTACTGCCTCGCGTGCGTCAACTGGCTGGTCAGGTAAGAGAATGAGAAGCGTTCAAGTAGAACAGCCGCAGTTTCATGACAACACACAGGACATGGTTGGCAAGGCATTATTTTCGGTCTTGATAGCAATTGTATGTTATGGTAAAAAATTGTGGCTTATAATCACAGTGCGATGAATAGCTACCAAAATATAGAAACACCACATGAAATTTTAAAAAGGTGTATAGATGCTGATGTATGCAGAC